GAGAAAAGTAAAAGCCTGCTAAAGGAATAGAGATCCCAAAACCAATGTTTTAAAAATCTGATATTCAAGACGACTGATTTCTAATATCAAAACAATAAGTTCTTAGGACTGCCTGCTACAACTTCACCAAGAGTATAAATGCAAAGCATTAATAAATTTATAGGGACCAGCAGTTAGCGTAATGGCTATGTTGCTGGCTCCCACGTAGTCGGCCACGGTTTGAGTCCCAGACCCGGTGGCTTAAACTCATGCCGGGCACATGTGTATGCGTGCCCAAGATCCTAAGAGGAGAATGGAGAAGGGAATGCGGTGTGGCCATCCCCCCTGGGGGGTGATTTCTTGCTTTCTGTCTGTCTCTCTCTGTCTGTCTGGTGAGCGCCTGCGCCCTATAGCAAAAAAACCTCTCCAAAAAATATATATATATAAATACAAATGAAAAATGGCTGCAATTAACTACTGGACAACTTACTTTTCTACCGCAGACCATAATTAAACATTTAGTATTACTGAGTCCCAGTGACAGTGATGTAGATTAAGAGAAAATTGCTGAAGAATACTATGGGTTGTTGGGAAAGTCATAATGCATTTTTGCATAGAAAAATATAGAAAAGTATGATATGACTTTTCCAATGACCTAATAATTTCACATCAAAATAGTTCTCAAAACTCTCATCAACTCTGAAGCTTTCAGTGATCTAAAATCTTCTAGAAGCCCACAGCTAAGAGCATGAATTCTGGGGTGAGAATGAAAGGATTACTTCCATTTCTACTTGTCAGATCTGTGACCAAAGGAAGGCTACTTTGCTTTGCTGTGCTTCCATGTTCTCATCTGTAAAATGGAGATAACAGCATGTCAAGCTCTTGGGGTACTAGAACCACTGAGGGTGAATCCACACAATGTGCTCAGAAGACCACCTACACAAAGCTTAATAAATGGTAGCATTTGCTGTCCTCACTTTGTGGGTAGATATAATAATGACAGTGGCTCATGGGATTAACAGACCAATAAATATATTATCATGAATTTTAATAAGCAATATTAAGACTGTAGAGACCAACAGTTGGCATAATGGCTATGTCCCTGGACTCCCATGTAGCCAATCATGGTTCAAGTTCCGGACGCAGTGTCTTAAACTCACACTAGGTGCATGTGCATGCGTGCCCAAGATCACAGGAGGTGAATAGAGGAGAAGGGATTACAGTGTGGCCATCCCCCCTGGGGGGGTGCTTTCTTGCTTTCTGTCTCTCTGTCTCTATCTTTCTGGTGAGTGAACATGCCCTATAGCAAAAACCTTTCAAAAAAAAATAATTAAGATTGTATAATCAGCATTTTAGTCTTAGAACAATCAGGAAAGGCAAATTCATCATCACTTAGATTCAGAAGGCCAGGAAAAAGTGAACTAATATATAGCATTTTGTAGAAGTCCTCAATTTGAGATTCCCACTGAATTTCTACTCTAATGAATTTAATAAATGACACTTTCAGAAATCATTCAACTTCAAGTATGAGTTTGAGGAGAAAAGTAAAAGCCTGCTAAAGGAATAGAGATCCCAAAACCAATGTTTTAAAAATCTGATATTCAAGACGACTGATTTCTAATATCAAAACAATAAGTTCTTAGGACTGCCTGCTACAACTTCACCAAGAGTATAAATGCAAAGCATTAATAAATTTATAGGGACCAGCAGTTAGCGTAATGGCTATGTTGCTGGCTCCCACGTAGTCGGCCACGGTTTGAGTCCCAGACCCGGTGGCTTAAACTCATGCCGGGCACATGTGTATGCGTGCCCAAGATCCTAAGAGGAGAATGGAGAAGGGATTGCAGCATGGCCATCCCCCCTTTCTGACTCTCTGTCTTTTTGGCGAGTGCACTTGCCCTATAGCAAAAAAAAATTTTTTTTTTGAAATTCAAGCATAGGTATTTTATAATACATATATATATAAATACAAATGAAAAATGGCTGCAATTAACTACTGGACAACTTACTTTTCTACCGCAGACCATAATTAAACATTTAGTATTACTGAGTCCCAGTGACAGTGATGTAGATTAAGAGAAAATTGCTGAAGAATACTATGGGTTGTTGGGAAAGTCATAATGCATTTTTGCATAGAAAAATATAGAAAAGTATGATATGACTTTTCCAATGACCTAATAATTTCACATCAAAATAGTTCTCAAAACTCTCATCAACTCTGAAGCTTTCAGTGATCTAAAATCTTCTAGAAGCCCACAGCTAAGAGCATGAATTCTGGGGTGAGAATGAAAGGATTACTTCCATTTCTACTTGTCAGATCTGTGACCAAAGGAAGGCTACTTTGCTTTGCTGTGCTTCCATGTTCTCATCTGTAAAATGGAGATAACAGCATGTCAAGCTCTTGGGGTACTAGAACCACTGAGGGTGAATCCACACAATGTGCTCAGAAGACCACCTACACAAAGCTTAATAAATGGTAGCATTTGCTGTCCTCACTTTGTGGGTAGATATAATAATGACAGTGGCTCATGGGATTAACAGACCAATAAATATATTATCATGAATTTTAATAAGCAATATTAAGACTGTAGAGACCAACAGTTGGCATAATGGCTATGTCCCTGGACTCCCATGTAGCCAATCATGGTTCAAGTTCCGGACGCAGTGTCTTAAACTCACACTAGGTGCATGTGCATGCGTGCCCAAGATCACAGGAGGTGAATAGAGGAGAAGGGATTACAGTGTGGCCATCCCCCCTGGGGGGGTGCTTTCTTGCTTTCTGTCTCTCTGTCTCTATCTTTCTGGTGAGTGAACATGCCCTATAGCAAAAACCTTTCAAAAAAAAATAATTAAGATTGTATAATCAGCATTTTAGTCTTAGAACAATCAGGAAAGGCAAATTCATCATCACTTAGATTCAGAAGGCCAGGAAAAAGTGAACTAATATATAGCATTTTGTAGAAGTCCTCAATTTGAGATTCCCACTGAATTAAAAAACAAGAAATTAAAAGGTTCTAAAGAGACAGGCCCTACAAATAGTGTAATCAGATACATACTTGAACTACAAAAGTAGTCAACCGACTGTACAAAAATGTCACTAATACAGATTTCTGAATATTATTTTGTACAACTGAATAATACTAATGATATGAAATAAGACTAAGACGATAATAGGAAATAAGCAAACCAAGAACAATGGTTAAAACTACCTATTGCTGATTGTCAGCCATATTCTCTTCAGCAAGGTCAAATTTCAACTATGCAGTAAGTCTATCAAATTTTACGGTACCCAGTCACAGGTTATAGCTTCTTTACCAGGTCTTTCAGAATCTAGCCTGTCCTGATCCACCTCAAAGGTCAGGCTAATTAATTACTAAACAGTAACGGCCACGGCCACCATTTACTAGTCGCTTTATTATGTGTCATGAATGATGCACATTAATCAAATCTTCATTTTTATGCGCTTCGGTTGTTAAGTATCTCATCTAAAAGAGCACCTTACTCTATTACCCCAATCACTTTTGTATTTTATATTTATGTTCCAAAGAAATTGTTTGGCTCAGTTTATAAAACATTAAAATGAAAGCAAAGAGATTTTTCAGTCAGGTGAATTATCTCTCATGCCTTTATAAAACTGTATCGATACCCTTAAAAGTGAACTGCAACTAGAAAAAATATTAATGTTGTAGAAACTCATTATTTCTAGGTATACTTACAAAATGATTTTCTTTAAAGTGAAATAGTAATCAAAATGCTAATTCTGCAACCTGCTTTGCCTCTCAAAGACAGAAATAGTGCACTGGTGAAACATCACTCAACAATAAAGAGGAAACTAGCACAAAACAGGACCCACGTGTCAACTTTCCCTGCCCTGCCCACCTTCTCTCAACACTAAATGTATATTGTGCAGGAGTCAGCATTTTAAGATGAACTTCTTTACCAACTGTTCTCATAAAACCAACAATTCAAGCCTCAAGTATCTATTACTGCATACTGTTATTACAAATGTACATCATATGACAACTATCAAAACCTAAAGCATCACATTATAAAATAAGCAAAGACGAGCTGAAGCATGACTAAAATTATACTCTGATTATTTTATTCTTTACTTATTTTTTCTTGAGATTAGTAGTCAATGAATTTTGACAGGTACCATTATTCCTACCAAAATCAATAACAGTAATGCAATTGCTGCTATAAAATTCACATTAAGTGTAATGTGAAAAATATAACTAAAGATTGAACCAATAAATATGATACACACATAAAAAAAGAAAAGACAGAAGTGAGAAGAAATGCAATTGAGTAAAAGGTAGAATATGCAGAATCATTTTTAAAAGAACCCTCTTATTTTCTATGAGAACGGAAGGTTTATTTGCTAATTTCTGAATGCAGGTACAGCTTACGCCATCTCTAAAATGCATTTGGAAGCACAGGCCTTGACTTAAACTGCCATTCTCATTCTATAAATTCACCGAGGATGGGAGGGGACAGGCGGGAAGAAATGTAGGGATGGGTAAGTGGAGAAATGAACCTAACATAGTGGGTTGAAGGGAATGACCACAGGGTACTGAGAAGACTTAGGGAGCCAGAACTGCCACAGAGCACTAACTGTGCTCTTGAAGAAACTAGAATGGGGAGGAAACAGCCATTGTTACAATTTATGCACTAGTCAACTTTAATTCTAAGGTAATTCTGACTCCATCAAATAGTCTACCAATTAAAAAACAAAACAAAACAAAAACACCCAATTTCTACTACAACCATCATATATAATGGCAAAAATCACCTGGTACTTTAATCACTAATACTTGTCTAATTCTAGACCAGCATGTACTAGACAGAAGCTATGTGCATCTTCCCTTACTTAGGCTCCACAGATCAAAACAGAGAAGATTTCCTTTTTAAACTTAGTAGAGTTAATCCTTCACCCTCAAGATTTTTATAAAGCTACTATTAAGATCAATACTATTTTAAAAACTGCAGAAGAGAAAAATACATTTAATAAAAGGTCATACCTGGTGATACTTCCTGTCCGTCCTGTTGGTCTTCTGCAGTGGGCACACTTACTTCTAAAATACACAATAAAGTTAGTCTATTAGCTGTTGTGGGTCACTGCAAAACTCAGATCACCAGTATTTAAGTTATGGTGATTAATTTTTTTACAGATGTAAAAAATCAACTGCAATGATAATAAATCAGAACAAGTAAGAACTAGCTACAACACAGCAAAATGTGTATTTCTTGGCTGTTTTCCACAGTGGGTTTTATATTTACACTTGATGTACTTCAAAACTTATCTGAAAAGGAGATATGGACTAAAAGTCTAGGTTCCCATCACAATTTTGCACCAGAGAAATCTTGAGAAAAGATTAGAGAATCTTGCTACTTCTCTATAAATAATTTCTTCCTGAGAAGATTTTTACCTCATAACTCTAGTATTAACAATAAAGAAATAACACAAGAAAATGACGTTAAAATAGAATCCGAATGTCAAACATTTGATAGAGCTGTTTATGAAAAATAATACTCAAGATAACATATTCTCAGACAATGATGTGGATATTGACTTTTAACACCTTGCTGTTTCCTTTAGTTTAACATAATTACAACTAAAGAAACTGTAGACATCCCCACTCAACAGTATAAAGACATGTTGATCTGGTTTCCTTGGTGAAATTACATTGTATAGTAGTATCTTTAAACCTAACAACTCATCATTATCCTGATCTAGAGATAAGATTTGATCAGCTTTTCTTTTGTTCTTTAAGAATTTTAAGAGGCTTGGGACAAGCAGGCAGCATGGTAGTTAAGATTCTGGACTCCCACATGGCTGACGATCGTTTAAATCCCAGACCTGGAAACTTGCTTTCTCACTTTCTCTGTCTCTGGTGAGTGCATGTACCTTATAGAAAATTAAAATATAATAATAATGTTAAATTAAAAAAAAACTCTTTTAGAGGTTTTTGCTTTAGTGTGCATGTACTCGTGGAGAGAAAGAGAGAGACAGACAGATAAAGTGAGAGGGAAAGTAAGATATCACCCCCGAGGGGGATGGCCATGCCACAACCCTTCTCCTCAATTCTCCTCCCAGGATCTTGGGCATACATGCAAACACACTCAGCGTAATTTTCAAGCACCGGGTCTGGGATTCAAACTGCAGTAGGTTGGCAATGTGGGAGTCCAGTAATGTAACTGTTACACCATCTGCTGGTCCCAAAATAATAATTCTTAAAAAAAAAAAAAAAAAAATTTTAACAGACTTCGTTTTCCTTATTAAATGCCCACACTCCATCTGCTGGTCCCAAAATAATAATTCTTAAAAAAAAAAAAAAAAATTTTAACAGACTTCAGTCAAAAGGAGTTAATTTTAACATAGTATTATGGATCTATTTTAACCATTTTTCTTCTTACATTAATTTGCTCCTAATTGTAAAACTAACATTGGCTCGAAATAGAATTCTTAAAATATTTTACATAAAGGTCGGGAACCAGCAGTTAGTGTAATGGCTATGTCGCTGGACTCCCACGTAGTCGACTGCAGTTCGTGTCCAGGACCCAGTGGCTTAAAACTCACGCCAGGCGCGTGTGCGTACATGCCCAAGATCCCGAGAGGAGAATGGAGGAGAAGGGACTGTGGCGTGACCATCCCCTCTGGGGGGTGATTTCTCGCTTTCTGTCTCTATGCCTCTCTCTGTCTGTCTGGCGAGCGCACGCACCCCATAGCGAAAACCTCTCAAAAAAAATTTTTTTTTACATAAAAGTATTTACAAAAGCACCCACACATACTCCCACTAACCACTATATTAATCACTTCCTTTCTTATTTACATTATTGTAAGAAAAACTTATTACAATCACAAATTAAATTTTCAACTAAATTTATTCTAAGAAAGATACACATTAAGGACCAGCAGCAGATGGCGTAATGGTTATGTTGCTAGATTCCCACATATTCAGCCACGGTGCCAGTCCCGAACTTGGAGGCTTACAATTCATGCTGGGCCTGTGTGCGTGTATGCCCAAAATCCCGAGGAGAATGGAGGAGAAGGACTGCAGCGTGGCCATTTCCCCCACGGGGTGATTTTTTCATTTTCTGTCTCTCTGTCTCTCTGGTGAGCACAAAAATCTCTCTCTCAAAAAAAAAAAAAAAAGATATACATTTAATAAATTCATCTGAAATTTATTTTGGCATATAATAGGTTCTTAAAAGGGAAATGGTAACATGATTATATCAATGCAACCTGAAAGAGCTATGTATTTTATTTACATAGCCTATGTCTTTCTTACTCTAGGCTTTTCTGAACCTACTTCATACAGTAGGGCTTTCACTCCCCTCTATGGACTCAAAAGGTTTCTGAATCACTCACAATCTCTGTGTTACTAAATGCAATACTTCTCGGTCACAATTCCTGGGCCACTCAGAGACACGGAACATGCCCCTCTTCTCCTTATGACACAGTCTTCTCTACTGCTTTTTCTCCTGACTCAGTGGTTGTTCATCCTCTATCCAATCTCACATTACTGGGGTTCCTTAGAGGTCAGTACCACTCTTTCTGTACTCACCTCTAAAATGATCACATTTTAATACCATCATCATGATGACAACTTCCAAGTTTATCTCCATCTAAGATCTCATCTCACTAGTACACACTGGCAGATCCAACTCCCTACCCATTACCGCCACATGGACATCTCATCTAACTCCCAAACTTAAAATATGAAGCTTTTAATTCTCTCCTTTAAACCAGTTTCTTCCAAACCCCAGTTTTCTTCCTCTTAGTCGATGGCCCATCACCTAACAGTTCATCAGGCCAAATCGAGCCCCCCTTTATGTCTCCTCTTTGCTTCACAATCACCAGAAAAGTCCATCGATTTTAATTTTAAAATATATCACAAATTCCAACGTTCCCCACCATTTCCACTGCCATGATCTCACTCTGGGCCACCACAATAGCCTCCCCTGGGGTTAGTACAAAATAATCTCCTATGAGTGGCCCACCGTACCTGTGCAGGAGTCTCTATCAGAAGCTATCTGGGAAAGGTGGACAATTTTGGTCTCCTCCATTCCCTCCACATCTACCTTCCCTCATTTCAGTTGACTGAATTTTTATTTGGTCTCCCTATTCAAGCTTGAAACCAGTAACATTTAATTTGAAAACTAACAACTAGCTGCTCATAAATGAATTCTAATGGTAATTTTATGAGCAAAATTCTTGCTGCTATGTGCTCTCTGAGGACACCTGATGTTAAAGCATATACTTGCCAGAGTCAGTGTCAGGTCCCAATACTGGGCTGCCCCCAGATCAGACAGCCATGGAGTCAAGAGGTCAGTCCTCAGCCAACTTTGCTCTAGTTTCAGTGCTTCACTAGTAAAACAAGCACAAAGATCTTTTCCTACCTCCTCCTCTTTGTGTGAGACACCTGAAATAATGTATCTTGAAAGAACTGTGTAAACTTAAATGTAAGTTGCACTGAAGTACCAGTTTTCGATTTATGCAACTGTTTTTTTTTTTTTTTCAGAAACCACCGTTTTGCTTAAAAACAAAACAAAACAAAACAAAACAGAAAGAGAGTAAGAACAAAGAAAAAGTTTCCTTCTAGCTAATAACACAAAGGGCACAACTATCAACTCATCTCTGCCCACAGCTAACGCCTTCACACCAGATCACTTCCTCAAAAGTGGTCTCTCACTCCTAGAGTAGTTCTCTGCATCCTCTCTGGTTATTCTCTAATAGTGCACTTTGTTTTTATCACCATCATTACACTCCTCATCATGTTTAATTACTTCATTTATCATCTGTTTGAACACTGGAATGCCAGCTCCATTGAAAACAGGCATTCTGTTGTCTTAATCACTCCTGTACTCCTAGCTCCTGAGCACTATGGAGATAGCAAACAGGAAGTGCTCCAAAAGAACTCGAACATATTTAATATGGCAAGGAGAACTATTCCTATAAAATTAACTTACCTTCTGAAATCATGTTTGAGTCTGCTATAGCATCTAAAAAAAGCAAACACATCTTATATTAAACTCAACTCCACGCAGATACCAAAGTTAATGTATCCACTCAGATATCTAAGTATGGCTCTTTCTAGAGGAGGTCTTACAGACTCCTGAGCATGCATTTATACTAGCACCAATTTAACTTCTAAACTACATTAAGAGAATACATTAAATAGACTAATATTATCCCTGCAGACATAAAATTTGTACCATAAAAGGGGAATAGATATGTTGGCAATAATCAATATAGTTTCTTGGTGTTTTAAAAATGTCTTGCCTTTCTTTCTGCATTTATTCTTCGGTGCACAATTGTAGGAGTTTCAATAAACACAGGGAATGGTATGGTGGGTAGCTGAGTTGCAGAAAACACCCACTTTAGAGAAAAAAACTCACCTGAAATTTCTATTCCTTCATTTTCTGAAGGTTCATATACTATAAAATAAACAGAAAAAACCAATTTGTTAGCACTATACAACTTTGATTACAATAGAGTCACAAACAAAATTATAACAAATATTTTGAAAGTTATCTTTAAAATTCAGGTTTTTTGAAATTTTGAAAGTTGTTTATTAACTGTCAAGAACTATGAAGTATGAGCAAAAATTTTCAATAGGTAAATGTTTGTGGGGAAATGTAAAATAAATAAATAAATCTGAAGAAAAAAATATGATAGAAAAACTGATGACAGCCTTCAAGGGCAAAGCTGATGTCTTATTTCTCTGGGAGCCTCCAGGGCTCAGTCACTAGGATACAGCAGACAACAGAGCAGGGTGGGAAGAGCTCAACCCACTGGACAAAACAGGCCTAACTCAGATTGAAGGTCGTGGTTGTAGAGCCACAGGAAATGGTCCATCACATATGCTTCCTTTCTATAAAAGGAGGAACAGACAAGTGTTCCTTTATCCCTTGTTACCAGGACTCAACAGTTTGTTTACACCCAGGTGGTACTGAGTTTCCATTTTTAAATTTTATTTGTATCTGTGGTGGTTTTCAGTCAGCTGAAGCTCTACCCTGGATCCCAGTTCTTAGCAGGCAGGTATCTCACTTTGTTTAAGGAAACAATGCTCAGAGGTTTAACCTGTGGGCAAATGCCATGGCTGCCAAACCCTTGGAACGAGGGGCTGCTGGCAGCCTTTAATTCACCACCCTGACCCTGGCCCACTGTCCACTTCTGCTCTCAGGTACTGCACGGGGCCTGGGGCTTCTATCCTGCTGTGCTGCAGAGGTGGCTCAACTGTGCAGTCCTCTCCAGGGCCCAGGGGCAAGTTTTCTCTCAGTCAACCTCTTCTTCCACAGTGCCGCCACTATTCTGATGCACTAGAAACAAACTTTCTTATCTTCCCAGAATGGTCATACATTCATTCTTTTTCATTTATTTAATAAAAAATTATGAGCACCTGCTACTTTTCAGACATTAGAACAGGGGACAATTTTATCTGTAGTTTAGTTATTTCATTCAGCAGAGAGGGGAGAGCTAGAGAGACAGAGAACACACACCACTCAGGGTCTTCATGCTGTGATCAACCCCCTTCTCAGTCAGTTCATATCACGGGCATGAATTCTCCCAGAATACTCAGGGAGGGCCCAGGATACAAACCTGGGATCTTTGTCATGTGAGTCCAGTTGCATCATCATAGTGCCACCACCTGGCCCGCCAAACTTCATGTATTAAAATCTGTGAGCCATTGTAAAAGTACTGGAGAAAACTTAATCTATGAGATTAAGAGGTAGGGCTTTTGGGGGGTGAATAGGCTGGATCCCGCACAATTGTCTCCTGGTGGTTTATAAAGAATAGTTAAACTCTGACTAAAGTAGTTGCTCAAGCATATTTTAGTCAAGAGAAAGCAACAACTGTAAAGTAATGAGGTCAGTGTTCTTGGGTAATTTGTAATTAAACCTCCGGAGGCAACTTATAAAGAGTTGAAGAAATAATTTAGGGTGGAGCGGGTCAGCAATATCCCAAAAAGAATTTCTCTGAAAACTAAGCTAGGATATTTACAGCTTACAACAAAATTCTCCATATTTTATAGTCAAACAAGTTTAAGATTAAGAAGCATTTTCAGACCTTGTTCATCATAGTCTTGGTATGTTATGTCATCTGTAAAAAAAAAAGGGAACAAAAATAAGTATCAAATGAGTCATTCTGAGTAACTGCTCAGCTAAAAAACACTTCAATCTCAAACACAGAATTCTTTTTCTTTCCAAATTAATACGTGCACATTCAGTGATAAATGCCTCTGTCCTAAAGCAACTAAAGAAAACAGGTATATAACTTTTCTAAAAATCTCTCTAATTGGCACAGAGTAGGACACACTAAATTACTGTCAACTTCATATTATGTTTTGCTATAGAGGCACTGGTGGAGAAGGTGAACTATGAACGCCTGATACTCTTTTACACCTTAGTTTTGTTACAAGACACAAAGTCTTTTAGTACATGTTACAATTACAGCTTTGAAAAAAATTACATCTTTGACTGTTTTGAAAGAAAAATCTCCATGTTAACATAACAGAGCAAATGAAAACCCTTAAATGGCATTTAAAGTTTGATGAAAATGTTCTAGGGCTAGCATTGTGGACTAGTGGTTAGGGGAGCCAGATTCCATATGGCTTACCACATGGTTCAAATCCTGACCCCAGTGGACTTTGAAAACGCACTAGGTATGTGTGCATGCTCAAAATCCTGACAGAATGGAGAAACGGAGAAGGGATTGTTGCATGACCACAGCCCACTGAAGGGCATTTTCTCCCTCTTTGGCTCTCTGGTAATCACATGATCCCTCTGGCAAAAAAAAAAAAAAAAAAGGGAAGGAAAAAAAAAAAGAAAATGTTCCTCTAATACCTGTATCATGTTGTAATTTCTCATCATCTACAACTGGTTCACTGGAATCTAAAAAGAAAAAGTATACACCTTTGTCAAACATGTGAAAATCAACAAGCACCACACACCATCTAAAAGATTCATAAATCCATCTCCACAGTCTGCAAGATAGATGTTATCGTTATCATTTAATAATATTTAAGCTGAAGAAAGTTCCAAAATCCACTCTCAGTCACAAATACAGGGAAGAGCAAAACCAGGATCTGCACCCTCACTGCCTACTGCACCATACTGCCTCTTCAATACCCAAATATTCTCTCCCACATCCTACCTACAAAGACCAAAAATCCCCTGGTAGTTCGAAACCACATCTCCTTTTCTCTCATCTTCCCATGTAAATTACGCTTCTATGAATATGTGGGCAATCAAAAATGACTGTAAGTTTTGCAGAGTGAGATCAGTGCCAAGTCAGAGTGAATCCTTAACCGTGTGTTGAAACGGCCAGACACTGCCTCAAATGGAAACATGTACCAATGACACTAATATCCACCAACCTGGACCTTCCTGTTCATACACCAGCTCTTCCATATCCTGGGTATAGTCTTGTGAAACTGTAAATTAGGAAATAAATAGGAAATCAGATATCTGTCTCAAATAAGGATAATATGTGACATTACAAAGTAGAACAGCACCACTTCTACTAAAGATACAAATGTGAAATGGAATCACAGTGACAGCGCATTTACTCATGTTTACCTATATGCTAAAACATACAGGTTTCAGCTGCACTGAATTCCACATACAAACATGAGTAAGCTACTCCCTATTACCAATCAGCTTATATCAAACTACAAAATATGGAGTTGCTGGAAAAGTCATGACGCATTTTTGCATAGAAAAACATAGGAAAAAAGGTCAGGACTTTTCTGACAACCCAACAGTAGGGAGCACAAGAGATCTTTGAGATGTTCACGGGAAATATGTGTTAGGCAAAAAATATGTGTGGATTTGTGTCTTGTCTTGAGATATGGATAGGTTCATGCACCTACCATTTGAACAGAATCCTAACCTGTTTCCTGGCTTTAAGTTTTAAGCAAAGTTTTTAAAATTTCTTTGTTAAAGTTAAAACTGGTTTTCTTATTAGTACCAAGTGAACTTACTATTGAAAGTAGTTAGATTATTTAAAAAATTGTGTGATCAATACAATGTGGGGGGGAAAGGAATGGAAGACAACTATAGATACCAGAGATAGTGTGAGAAGAGGGTGGGAAAGGACAGAGGACCAGACATAGGGGTTAAAAAAAAAACCACCACCAACAACAACAAAAAAACCACGAGAAACTAGAAATGGAAAATTTTTGATAACAACAAGCCAAGAAACTAGAAGTGGAAAATTTTTATAACAACAAGCATGATTAAGCCACTATGCAGTATATTCTGGATGGGAAATCACATTTTATATGCTGTGACGATGCTTAGGGAATGAATGTAAATTAAATTTAAAAAAAAAAAAAGGTTCAGAAAAAAAAAAAAAAAAGAAAAGAAACCATGTGCCCTTACAATGTAGTTTTATTTGGCTAGATTAATGTCAACCAGTCATGTTGATCAGAGGCTGTGCTGTGTGCTTTGATGAATGAATAGAAGTAAAATAAAGGCTGCTGCCTAATAAAATAAAATAAAATTTAAAAAAAATGTGGAAATTCCATTTTTTCCCCACCAAAACAAACTTGTACTTTCGTTTCATTTTTCCATGATTGTTTTGAAGTCATCCTGCATTCTCATTTAGTATATACAGATTCAACTATACTCGACAAAGAAAAACAAGAGAGGCAGAGAGACAAGGCCTGCAGTGCAGGTCAGTCCTACCTGCTCCTCCCACCCACTCACTTCCTGCGCACTTCCCAGTCCTTGCGTAAACTCAAGTCCTGAGCGTCCATATGGCATTTCTTCCTGACCAGAATACAGGTACAGTGATCACAGACACCTGGTGTTAAAGTGATCTAGGTGTAAACACCAGCCAACAATGATGGCATGTGGCCCTCAAGTGTGGGAAAAGCCAGTAACACGAGTCCACTGAAAGATGGTATTTCACCTTCAGTGTGGCCAGACCTTCCAGGACATGTGATGTGACAGAACACAATTCTGACCTATTAACTTTGTAATTTAAGGCTACAAAACAGAATTTCACTGTATCTTCTGAGCTAGTAATATCACTGCAGGGAATTTAACCTCAAGATACGTGATTTTTAAAATTTAATATATTTTACTTTATTTTAATTTCTTATATATTTAGTCACTATACATCATTTAGTTGTACAGTGAATTTTCCCATATGAACATATTTTTCACCAGTCCAGTTTGGGATACTATACATGTTATCATCAACAGTTAATAATCCATTTCTGTGTCCCATATATGTCTTGCCTATAGCAAAAACCTCTCAAAAAAAAAAAAAAAAAGAAAGAAAGAAAGAAATGCTACAGATTTTTTATGTTGATTTTGTATCCTGCAACTTTACTGTATTCATTTATTACTTTTGGGAATTATTATTATTATTATTATTTGTGGATACTGTTGGGTCTTCTATGCATACAATCATGTCATCTGCAAATAGAGATAATTTCACCTCTTTTTATTTGAATGCTTTTTATCTTATTCTCTTTTCTGATTGCATTGGTAAGGACTTCCAGTACTATACTGAAAAGGAGTGTAGAAAGTCTTGTACCAGAATGACATTAGCTATGGGTTTTTCATAGACAGCTTTTATTGTGTTGACGAATGACCCTTCCATGCCAATTTTGCTGACAGCCTTATCTTGAAGGAATGTTGTATTTTATCAAACACTTTTTCTGCATATTGATATGATCATATGATTTTTATCTTTCTTTTTGTTAATATGGTGTCTTACATTTATGTTTTTGCATTTGTTGAACAACCCTTGCATCCCTGGAATAAAGGCTACCTGGTTATGATGTGTAATCTTTTTTAATATGTTGTTGGATATGATTTGCTAGTATCTTGCTGAGAATTTTTGCATCTGTTTTCATCAGAGAAATTAGTCTATAGTTTTCCTTTTTTGTCATTTCCTTATCTCTTTTGGGGATGAGCATGATTCACAAGTTTTTCTGCACATTTATAACGCTGACAAAGATAAAAAGTATCTTGATCCAGCACAGATTCCTGCCAAACATATTCTACTTGAGACACATAAACCCATTGTGCATAAAGGAAGTTGAGTTCACTGAAAGATGGTGTTTCACCTTCAGTGTGGCCAGACATTCCAGGACATGTGATGTGACAGAACACAATTCTGACCTATTAACTTAGTAATTTAAGGCTACAAAACAGAATTTCACTGTCTCTTCTGAGCTGGTAATACCACTGCAGGGAACTTAACTTCAAGATACGTGATTTTTTTTAATTTAATATATTTTACTTTATTTTAATTTCTTATATATTTAGTCACTATACATCATTTAGTTGTACAGTGAATTTTCCCATATGAACACATTTTTCACCAGTCCAGTTTGGGATACTATACATGTTATCATCAACAGTTAATAATCCATTTCTGTGTCCCATATATGTCTTGCCTATTTTTCTTAAAGTCTTTCCTCACACACTCTTCCTTCTCCCACCCTCTTCCCACACTATACCCAGTATCTGTAACTAGTTTCCATGTTTCTATATCCTCTAATCTTTCAGTTTCTGTCAATGTGCGGACAGTCAGTATATATTAAATGGAGACACACAATGTCTCTCCTTCATAGCCTGGCTTGCTTCACTCGGCAGTAAATCTTCCATTTTCGTCCACGTTCTATCAAAAGCAAGGGTTTTGTTTTTGATATCTGAGTAGTATTCCATAGAATATATGTGCCACAGGTTTTTTGTGTTTTTTTTTTTTTTTTTGAGAGGTTTTCG